ATACTACTGTTGGGTACACTAAGTGTCAGCTACCATCTATAGTATATGTCTAAACTCAGAGGGTAACTGAAAATCAGAAACAGCTATTTAGACATACCCTTTGCTGCTTCTGCTGCTCCTCATCCCCTCATCATCATATTTCTGTGCCATGTACACTTCTACACATCGTATATACATTAACTCACTGAATCCTCAGAAAAAACGTATTAGGTCAGTTCTATTATACACCCCTCCTTGTACCTTGTTCACAGGGACAAAATGGTTAGTGACTTCTCCATGATCACACAAGTGCTTAACATCAGAGCCGAGAGGAGAACCCAGGCAGCCAAGATCTAGGAACCTACCCTCTTGACCACTTAACCATGCTGCTTCTCTGCACCTGTTATACATTTGAAGCATGTATGTCCATTTTCAAAACACATTAGAGAGAGTAGAGGTCATAGCTTCTAATACACATGTGCACATTAAGCCAAGATAGTAAAGGCCAAGTATTATTTGTTAAAACCATGAAGCTGTTTCCTGATGAAGGATTTCCTTAACTAATGGTATTCGGCATTCACTGAAAATAGGAATACACACTAGGAATTCTTTTCATTTAAAATAAATGTGTTTTAGCCTTGAACATTTTTAGACTATACAAGCTAGGCACTGATAGAACACAAGATATTCGAAATTCCTCAATGCTAATTTATGAAATTAAATATAACCAGATGATATAGAGTTTCTAGCAAACCGTATCAACCACTTTCTTTTTAAAAATCAAACACCATGTCAACAAATCACGGTAAGACACCAAGGGGATAAAATAAGGTTGAAGGGAGAAAACAGAAAACAAAACCAGGATGCTATTATTCAGCTCTACACTTAGGTTTAACACGAGCTATCAATCTTTCTTTTCATGAACACTAAATTGAGAAGAAAAAAAAAGAAAAAGAAAAATACAGATCAGTCTTCATAACCTGAGGCTAGAAGAACTTCGAATCCTGAAAACCTGAACTGACAATTTGAAGCCTCTTGTAACTCTCTGAAGGACTACATGCATTTTATTCTTTTTTCTTCCTGTTTAATCATTTTGCTCTATGGCTGTCCTGACAAGCACTGACAGAGTGGTACGGTCCAGGTGCTTGCCATTCAGGGGCAAAGGTGACAACCACACTTTCATCTCTAAATCTTTCCAAATAATTCATTTGTTTCCATAAAGCTGGTGCTCAGAGGAGTAACACCATTATAGCATCTTGAGAAAGAAAAGAAAAAACAACAAAGCAGAACTTTGTTTCTTGGTAGTGTGACTTTTTCTTCATTTTTAAGTAGATAATTTCTGAACAAATATTTTGCATCTGCAATTATGTAATTTTTAATTAGAGTCTAGTTGGCATACAATGTTATATTGCTTTCAGTTGTACAACACACCTTTCAGGCACACACCAGTGATTTGGTAATTCTATACATTGTGCAGTGCTCACCACGATGAACATGGTCACCATCTGCCACTATCTGTCACTATACAATATTATTATCTTCCTTATGCTGTAGCTTTCATTCCTATGACTTAATTATTTCACAATGGAAGCCTGTACTTCTTGATCCCCTTCACCTATTTAGCCCGTCCTCCCCAACACTCCCTCCCCTTCAGCAACCATTGGTTTGTTCTCTGTATTTATGATTCTGTTTCTGGTTTTTTGGTTTATTTGTCCATTTGTTTTGCTTTTTATATTCCACATGTAAGCGAATTCAGTATTTGTCTCTGACTTATTTCACTTAGTATAATACTTTCTAGGTCCATCCATATTGTCCCAAACAGCAAGATACCACTCATTTTTATAGCTGAGTAATATTCCATTGTATGTATACACACCACATCTTCTTTATCTAATCTTCTGGGGATATTTAGTTTGCTTCCATAACTCAGCTACTATAAATAATGCTGCATATACCTTATTTGAATTTAATGTGTTTGCTTTCTTTGGGTAAATACCCAATAGTGAAATTACCAGATCATATAGTATTCCTATTTTTAATTTTTTGAGGGAACTCCATATTATGTTCCACAGTGGTTGCACTACTTTATATTCCTACCAACAGCACATGAGGGTTCTCCACATCCTGGTCAATGTCAATTTATTGTCTTTTAGATACTTGCCATACTAACAGGTATAAGATGGTTTTGATTTGCACTTCCCTAATGATTAGTGATATTGAGCATCTTTTCATGTGTCTGTTGACCCACAAGTATATCTTTCTAGGTACAAGTCAAAAACAAAATATTAACAAGTCTCTTACACTTTTATACCAGTAATAACTTGATTATTAGAGAAATGGTCACTTATTCAATAAATATTTACACATGACTACTATGTGTTGACACTATATTAGGCACCAAAGATTTGATAATCTTGAATAAACCACCAAATGCTAATGTCTCATTAACAGAGAGCAAGTGAGCAAGCGAGTGAGGCGCAAATAAACTAATAAAGGAGGGATCATCTTCATGCAATAAATGCTATGCTGGAATAAGAGTCCCATGAAAGGAAAGAGCTGCCAGTGACAGCAGACTATAGTAGCACTAAACTGATGCCTGAAAAATGAGAAAACGCCAAACTGGGGGAAGTGCCCTTCTGGCAAAATGAACAACTGTAAAAGTCCAAAAGGGCAAAAAGGAACATGACATGTTGTAGAAATAGGAAAACAGTGTGACCAGGCCTATGAAGGTAGGGAGGAATAATATGAGATGAAGGGGGGAAGGCATAGGAGGGTCTCTTATGTGACAATAAGGAACAGGGATATATTCTGTTATGGGAAGCTGTTGAATATACTCAAACAATGAAAATACAAAATCTGATTTACATTTTTAATGACCATGGAATCTGCTTTTGGAGAATGCTTTGGAAGGAAGCTAGAGTAGCTACACAAATCAAGAGGAGTGTTGCATCCCAGGTAGGATGTGATGGTAGCTGGGCTGGGATTATGTTAGTGAAGAAGAAAGCCAACTGATTTAAGACCTATTTTAAGTTCGAAATGATAGAACTTGGTGACAAACTGGGTGAAAAAAATGAAGACTATCAAAGATTACACTACCAGGAAATTATTTTCCAATGAAATCATTTCTGCTATGCTACATAGCCAAAGTACAAAAGCATATTCATATTACTTAAAACAGGATTCCAAATGAGATAACATCCTCAATTAAATTACAAAGGATGCACCAGTTTCTAATTTTGGAAATGAAATATAACAACAACAAAAAATCCATAGTTAACTTGTAAAAGATAAAAGGAAAGAATTAGTTAAGAGTTTAAAAACATCAATTTATTCCTCTACTGATTAAGAAAAGCAATCTATTCCAAGGAAATATTAAAACAAACTGTTAAGTCTATAAATATTATAAGCACAGTGTTTTTATTTTATATTTTATTGTTGCCAAAAAATAAATGAAAGCTTATTTTAAGCTGCAGAGTACTTATGATACTATGAAGTCTCAGAAAGAAAATCTCATATTTCAAACTCCCTATTTCATCTTTCTATAAGAGATTTAAAGGGTGGGTCTAAGATCTCTTCATATTCTAGAAAACTTATAAACTTATTAACAAGCACATTAACTGCCTATTATTGAATTATTTTAATAATTACTATAGCCAATGCATAGATTATTCAGTTACTCCCCTTGCCACTTCTGACCAACTTCTACCTAAGGGTTAAATACTAAAGAGCAATGGAAGATTGAGAAAATTCTCTATAAAATTTGCCATTTGTTATCAGTTCGAGTACAGACATTTAATAACCAACTGCCGAAAGAACCAAAAACATCTAAATTCAAAATGTCACCCAGTCGTAACACTCTGACCAAGACAAAAGTGTTACAGTAACAATTATAACACAAATCAGACATAAAATTCTGTTTCATGCTGAGCTCCTCCATTTTTCATTATGTGGATTACAATTAATTTACATAAAGTATCTAAAATAACGCTTTATACATAGTACCTGTTCACTAAAGGGTAGCTACTATTTTCTGGAAAATCTAATAAGGTAGGGCTAATTCCAATATAATTCTGCTTAGACATATCATTTCTTTGGACATAAAGCATTTATACCAAAGCAATCACTTTAAATGCACAAAGATCAGGATTAACATTCTAAAGTGAGTTTTTCATCCTATTGTTCCTTTGATAGAGTAGTAAGGCTGAATTATACCATGTAGGGAATTAATACTGGGCTCCTGAGCCTCTAAACACCCACCACCAATTGGCCTTTACAGCTTAATATCTCTTAAATCCTCTTTGTTCCGGTAAGACAGATCTCATTATATTTTCCTGCCTATATTTCTCAAATTAGTTCATATGTATTTAACAATGAGCATGAGACCTGTGTCTTATTCATTTTTGTAATTCCTAATGCTCAGGACACGCTTGACACAAGGAGCTAGTTGCAGAAATGGATAAATGCCTACCGTGTCTGTTCAGATAATTCCCCAAACCTAAAATACATTGTTAAATTTAATTAATTTCCATCATTTTTTGAAACCATGCCTAAGCTTTATTCTACTTACACACACATAACTTATAATCAGAATAAACTGAACTACTTCATATCCCTTAGTATGCCAATAGAATATGTACTAAAAACTTGTCAGTTCTGCCTATGTGTTGACATTTATCTATATTATCTCCCCAGTTAAGGTGTCTGTCTCTAAGAGAAGGGGCTGAGTTTCACATTTCTTTGGAATAACCCTTAAATCCTGAAACAAGAGTCGGTTGGCCGTAAAGTAGACATCAGTGAATTCTGTTGAGAATTCACACAGCATTCCAACTCAGTGGTAAATCCCTGCTGCAGTGCATGAAATGGTATCTGCGCCTTGAAGCATTTACAAATCCTCAAAAAATATTTCTGTATTGTAAAGATCAAATCTAACATCTTAAAGGGAAAAAAATCAAAATATAAACATAATTATTTTGATAATGAAAGTTTTATCAGATAACAAAATCAAAAAGCAGAAAAGATACCTTCAAGCAGTTTTTTCTCCGAAGAGAGTTTAGAAGCAGCAGAAGGAGCCTGATACAAAAAGTCACAGAGGAACGTGGATTGGGAGGACTCCTGACTTAATCCACTTTCAGAGTGAATATCATGTTGAGGGAAATCTGAAAAAATTACAGAAATAACATATTTGAAATCTAAAATGTAAATAATTTCCCTTTGGTTATGAATATGTAGGTGAGTTTTTTGCTAGAAGAAAAGTTACTTCAAATTTTCCACAGAATAGCTATATATTTATTTCATGTTGCTCAGAATTTGCAAATAATCACTTAAGCTATGTTTATTATTCATATATGAAAATCAGATTTAATTTTGGTGAAAACGCTTATGTGGGGTTAACTATTTTAATCTTTAATTTATATGATTAAAGAAATATAAAAGATTTATTCTCTAAACATTTTCCTTGAAGTGAAACAAAATATGGTCCTAAGCACCTTCTATCTTTTTAATAATCACACTTGTCTTCATTCTGATGGTTTTTCTTATTTAAAAAATAAACAGATTTGTACTTTAGTCCTTTCAGGGATATAGCAGAAGAGACCTGGCTAATGAAGGGACAGAGACCGACCTGAGAATTTGTTATGGTAGAGAAATTCCATCTGTAGACTTTGGCCAGCCTTCTTGGCCAGCAGGTAGGGGGTGCTATACACAGGGTCTCCAGTTGCACACATGACATCTGCTCCACTGAACAGCAAAGCCATTGTTTCCAGAACGTCTGGTTTCACTACAGCAGCACACAGAGCCTGGTCGTTAAAAGAAAATACACTTTTTAAAGGGAAGAAAAATACAATTCTAGCTATTAAAATGTGTGAAAATCAGCCAAGCCATTTATAAAATGAAGTTGTATTCCCTTTTTTTTAACCAAGAAAGTTAGTAAGAAGTATGCCCTGAATTAAGTAATAGGCTCAAAAGACCTGCTTTGTATGAATTTAAGTTACAACTTAAGACTTCCAAATTTTAATTCATTGTTCCATTGTTGTGATATTCCAAACCTTCCAACATACCAGAGTTGCTTAGGAAGACATTTTTTATGTTTATGTACTATGATAATGGCTGGTGCTAAGAAAATGCAAAACGTTTAAAATGTAATAATGAAGTATATCTGTTAAGTGTTTTGTCATATGAATGTTATATGTATGTATTCTTCAGCCTAATCGGGATCTATATCATATTTTAAACTATTGTTGTGCTTCAGGAATTTGAAAGGTGAGTGCAATGCAAATACAGTACCTTTCCTTTTCTGTGAGGTATGGGTGGGGAGGAGGAATAGCAAGCAGGAGGTAAAAAACAACACTGACTTATGTTATACATCATTGTACAAACACTAGGAATTGCTGGAACCGAACTGTGTTGTTGCTGCTTTTATTGTTACCATGAAGTAATAAGCTGCCTTCACATCTCTTCTCATCCTCTCTTTCTGCTTCCTCACTTTACTGGCTTCCCATTTGTTTCTAAATCCTGTGATTTCAGCACTCTGATCCTGTCTGTTTTTGTAGCCCTGGACTCACCATTTCATCTCCTTCTTGACCTGGTGCACTTAGATAGATCACTGATTAATTTACGCTAATGCAACTTCAGAATAATTGCTCATTAAATGTCCCAATAAGCAGCTCAGAGTATACAACCAAGAAATCCCACAATGCATTCACAGTTCCAGACCTGGATGGTCAACTGTTAAAAAACGTCCTAACATTTCCTACCAAGGTCTAGATGACCTACAGAATTTCCTTTGCATCACAATCAAACAGCCTAACCTATGCCTGACTTTATTCTGTTTTGCTAGGTGATCTTAGCCAATCCCTTCACTTCCCTGAGTCTTAGTTTACCTCATCTACAAGATAAGGGTGCTAGAAAAGATACCAGCTAACATTCCATCCACTGCAATAGCCTTTGACTGCCCTCCCATTTAATCGTATTTGCTCATATTCTTTTATCCCCCCACTGCTGTTTTCCTCCACAGCACAATGTATTTGCTATGGTGTATTTACCGGACTCTGGCTATTCATGGTCAGTCTCCCTTACTTGACTACCACACTCATGAATAAAAGAGGCACATTTACGTTTTACTACAACTGTATCCCCAGAACCTAAAAAAGAATTCAGAACTTGTAAGTGTGCAATAAATATCGATCCACTATGAACACTAAATGGAAAAAGGTTAGTCTCTTCAACAAATGGTGTTGGGAAACTGGATAACCACATACAGAAAAGTGAAATTGGAGCCCTATCTTATACCATTCACAAAAATGTGCTCAAAAGAGATTAAAGACTTAAATATAAGATTGATACCTTAAAAATCCTAGAAGAAAACACAAGGAAAAGCTCCTTGAAATTGCTCTTGACAGTGACTTTTTGGAGATGACACCAAAAGCGTAAGCAACAAAAGAAAAAAAAAATCAATAAGCTGGACTATATCAAACTAAAAAGCTGCTTCACATCTGAAGAAAAAAAATCAACAAAATGAAAAGGCAAACCTACAGAATAGGAGTAAATATTTGCAAAACATACATTAGATAAGGAGTTTATAACCAAAATATATAAAGAACTTGGGGAAACTGGGTGGCTCAGTTGGTTAAGCGTCTGCCTTCAGCTCAGATCATGATCCCAGGGCCCTGGGATGAAGCCCTGCATTGGACTCCCCATTCAGCACAGAGTCTGTTTCTCCTTCTACTTTCACCTCTCCCCCACTCATGCTCACTGCCCCTCATTCTCTCTCAAATAAACAAAACCTTTATATATATATATATATATATATATATATATATATATATATATATATATATATATATCTCACAAGCCACAAAAAATAGCCAATTAAAAAGTGAGCAGAGAAAGTGAAGACACATTTTTCCAAGAACACATCCAAATGTTCAACAGTTACATGAAAATTGTTCAACATTATTAATCAAGGAAATGCAAATCAAATCACAATAAGTTACTATGTCACACCTATTAAAATATTAGATATGCAATCTCACGTCTATTAGAACATTATTCATAATAGACAATATATGGAAACAACCTAAGAATCATCAACAGATGAGTGAATAAAGACAATATGGTATACATACACACACACACACACACACACACACACACACACAAATATTATTCAGCCATGAGGAAGAAGGAAATCCTGCCATTTGGGACATGGATGGAACCTGAAGGCATAATGTTCAATGAGATTAGCCAGGCAGAGAAAGACAAATATTATATATCACTTATATGTAAAATCTAAAAAAGCCAAACTCATAGGAACACAGATTATAATGTGGTTACCAAGGGGTGTGGGAGGATGGGCGTGAGATGTTGTTTAAGGGTACAAACTTGCAACTAGAAGATAAATACGTTCTGGAGATCTAATGAACACCATATTGGCTATAATCAATAATACTATATTATTTACCTCACTATTGCTACAGGACTAGACCTCAAATGTTCTCACTACAAAACAGAAATGATAATTATGTGATGTAATACAGGTATCAGCTACAGTGGCAATCATACTGAAATACATAAATCAACAGTACCAAATCAACAGGTTGAATAAACTCATACATTATATGTAAATTGTATCTCAATTAAAAATGTCTATTCAATAAAACACATTTTTTGTAAGAGTTATTTGCTGACATTAAGAGTACTATTTTTAAGAAGCCCATTGCAGAAATAAATTTCAATGGGTAGATTTCTCTATAATATTCTTAGAAGAATTCAATTGCTAGTAATTAATGTAAAACGTATCTAATAGAAACTGTGTGGTGTGGCAGACAGGACTTTATTTGGGGACATCAATATACCTACCAGTAAGATACCCATAACTATCAGAAAGAAAGAAACCATTTGAGGAAAATATGCCTTAGTTCTCTAACTTCACCAGTTATTCCCCCAAATCCACAACTTAGTAATTATATACTTATTTATTATGGACCTCTAGTGCACAGAAATAATCATATCCTTGGTTTACAATACCTGTTGCTACTATACCATGTACATCTCATATACTGGTCAATATTAATAATGTAATTAGCACCAATGAAACCGCCACCCAAAACAAAACTAAACGTCTTAGTAATAACCTATATAAATATATAGTTCCCAGGCCCCTCGCCCATATCATCTCCCCTTAGCTGCCCATTCTGAATCCTTCATATTTTGTGTACCATTGCTTTAACATCAACTGGTGGCCTCACTTTATTAACATCAAAGATGTATAAATACTAAAAACTTAGTTTAGGGGAACTAATCCAACAGAAATGTAAATCAATTGTATGATCTTGTAATTTCTACAGACGTATGAAAAAGGCCTTTATCTGCTGACGTTCCAAAATGTTCAGTATCATTGCCACCTACCTGAAGATTTTTAATCATAAGTACTGCCACTAAAAGCATACTAAAAAACCAAGAACCATGAAAGACCATATTCTCTAAGCATAGAAACAATAGGCACATAAAAGTACATGTATTAAATATCTCTACATGGATGAGCCTCATAACACATAAGAAACTGAAGCAGCAATTTCAAAAATGAAAAGGGGCAGGATGCTTAGCATATCCTCTGCCAAAAAAGTGAAGAACAAGTGGGCAGCATAAAACAGGCACCAGAAGGTCTGGAATCATTCAGGGAAAGGTAAATAATGGGGTCAACAGCACTAAGCAAACAACTGCTTGTTAACAATACACGGAGTAAATGATGTTTATTTTGGTGACACATGTCAGCAATGTACAAGCTGTTATGTTTAGTGTCCTGTCCCTATAATAAGGAAAGTTGCCACAGTTTCCAGAATATTGGAGTAAGTTAGCCAGAACCTCATGTTATGGACAAATAATTTATTCACTACTGATCATGAATTCTTAAGTGAAACGGTGATAAAATCAATAGTACAATCTCACAAATGGAAATAAAATCAGTAAACAATACTTATAGCAGATAGTAAAGGACTTTTTAAAATTCTTTCAAAATCCTTGACCCATGTTTTAAGACATCAAGACCCATGTCAACTGTTATATATTTTCTGATACCTTGTTTAATTCTTCTTTGGTGAGAGATGCCAATAGGGTCTTTCTGAATCTTCCTTCTTTGTACTTCTGAGTGATGAAGTTTTTTCTCTTCTCTACAGGTGAGTCCATGTGTAATTCTTCATCTTTTTGAAGATTACCAGCCCAAAAGTCATTTGCTCTTTTGTTTCCAATGACAATGAAGAGCTGAATTGTCAGAAAGTTATAAAACAATATCAATTTATAAAATGTACTTGAATTTGCAAAAACCTGACTCACAAATTAGAATTTAACTTAGAGGGCCCCTGGGTGGCTAATTCAGTTAAGCATCAGACTCACAATGTCAGGGTCATGAGTTCAAGCCCTGCATAGGGCCTCACACTGAGCACAGAATTTGCTTAAGATTCTCTCTCCCTCGGCCCCTCCCGTCTCCACGTGCATACTCTCCCCCTGTCCAAAATATAACTTAGTATAAAGTATGCAAAAACACATGAAAAACTCACATCTTTCAGGAAGATGGAGTATGAAAGCAGATATTATTTCTATTTTAAATACAGCCTCATTGCTTTTAGTAACAGTACAAGATTAGCTAGAAAGAAATTGTAAGTAACCTAAATTGCAGCAAAAGCATTATTTTTTGAGGCTCCCAAGTAGGTGGGGTAATGTGGTTACTGAAATCCAAGAAGAAAATGGAATCAGGAGACAGAAAGTCAGATATGAGCACAGTTAATGACAGAGCATGGCCAAGAGAAAGAATAGAAAAATTTGCCCAAATGTTTTCATTCACTTTTCTAATATTTTATCCATACTGGGTTAAAAAGAAAAAAATCCGACTTAAAAAAAAAGAGACTGCTGTCAACCCTTTTAAAGTAGTTATTGCTATTAAATTCCTTGTACCTTTTATTTTTAAAATAACTCTCTCATTTAAGAAGCATTCTAAAAGTTGAAGTAGAAAGCTACTACTATCAAACAGGCTATAAGCCATTTTTATGGTGTGGTAAGAACTTTATCACAGAGCTTATTTTTTTTTAACATTTTATTTATTTATTCATGAGAGACTCAGAGAGAGAGAGAGAGAGAGAGAGAGAGAGAGAGAGGCAGAAACACAGGCAGAGGGAGAAGCAGGCTCCATGCAGGGAGCCTGATGTGGGACTCGATCCCGGGTCTCCAGGATCACGCCCTGGGCCGAAGACGGCGCTAAACCACTAAGCCACCTGGACTGCCCCATCAAAGAGCTTCTAAAGTAATTCATGCCACCCCACTACTAATGACCAACTGATCCCTAGTAACCACACCCACAGTTAGGTTGGGCTTACCTCAATGAGTTCATTGCTCCAAATGCTGGCATCCATTTTTAGACTTCTAACCTTGGAATCTTTTGGTCCTAAAGATCTATGTTGTCCTAAAGTTAAGATACAATTGCATTTATATTTCAGTTTTTATGTAAATGTATTTAATATTTTTAAAAAATGTGTATCTATGCATACATGTATGTGTGTATGTATATATCCGTTCAACTTAACACACACCAATATCTACTTTCCTTAATGCAATAGCATTAAGGGTAGTAGTGATAATTATACAGAAATCCCAACCACAATGAAGATAACAGTAATCATCTTCATCACTACCCTGTGCTGGTATAAAACTACTTTTAAAACTATGTATGTGTAAAAAAAGGAAAAAAACTATGTGTGTGTGTGTGTGTGTGTGTGTGTGTGTACACATATGTATGTGTGTACATTCATCACTTGCAAATTAACTAGCAATTATAGGTTACTGAAAACCTTTTGTAACAGGTATGTTTAAATTACATGTATGTAAACACAGATTTCCTTTACTCCTAAAAAAAATCTAGCAACAACTCTAATAAACATGTATCTAAAAATATGCAGTGGATTCTTTATTCTACTCTTATTCCTGAGAGTAAGAGCCCAGCATTCTATTAGCATTGATTCAATTATGCTATATAAATCATTATTCAGTCATTACTGGGCACCCAGGAGTGTGTCTGATGCTCTTTCTAAGCCAGGAAGGGCAAAGGTGTTCAAGACATTGTCCTGATGTAATGAACACTGGGTATTATTACATAAGACTGATGAATCACTGACATCTAGCTCTGAAACCAATAATAATACATTGTGTTAACTGATTTTAAATTTTAAAAATGGAAGAAAAAAAAAGACATCATCCTTATCTTAAGGACTTTCTGCCTAGAAACATAAAAGTTCATTCCTCTCTCTACATTGAGTAAGAAGGGCCTTTCCTCTTTTCTTTAAAATGGCAACTACTCAGAGCACAAAGTCTTAAAATCCCAATGGCAGAAATATGCATAGGTTTGTATTTATAAAGACCAACTAAGGACAACACTGAAAGAGATCAAACTCATAAAACAGGCAAAAGAACTGGAGAGAACCTCTGGAGTACTGGAGGCAAAAAACAAAACAAAACAAAAATGATAGAATCTGAGTTGAGGCAGCAGGAGGAGAAACAAAAGAGAGGGTAGATTTAGAAATCCTGAGATGATAAAAAAGAATGCTGGGACTTGGTGGGCTCTAAGGAAAGGGAGAGGGTCAAGAGACTCTCCAGTTTTAGGCTTGAATATAAGATAGACAGTACTGCCTCTGACCAAGATGTGGAATAAATGAAAATGTTCAGTTTTATGTAATGAACTGGGCAGCAATGAGAGCTCCTTTTTTCACATGCTATTTTTGATGTGTCTTAGGCAAATCCAAGAAGGGAGTCCAGTAGGTAGACCTAAGGGTATGGTGCCCTACAGGATGAGAATCATCCACTTACAAGTGAGTACTGAACTTAAATGATAAATAACATCAACCAGGAACAACAGAGTGAAAGAAGACTGAGGATGTAACCCAAAAGAACACACATATCTCAGGACCAGGCAACGGAAAAGTAACCTGAAAATGGATGACCAGAATATTAAGAACACACAAAGAGAAAACAGTATCTTGGAAGTTAAGGGAGGATGGGAAGTCAGAGAGAAACACTGGTCAAATGCTGCAGTGCCAAATACTGCAGAGAAAACAATAAAGATAGAACAGACTACACAGAAGAGAGGTAAAATACATCGGCATGCATGGCAAAAATACTTTTTACCAGACTAAAGAGAAGAGAACACTGAACATAGGCTGAAGAAAAAACTAGGAAGTTAAAGAAATGAAGGAAATCTGTGCAGAATTCTACTCTTGAAAGTACCCTGTCTGTGAAGGCAAAAGAGACAGAAATGATACACATTCAGGGGAATGGAAAGTTTTCAGGAAGCTAGTGTCAACACGACAGACTTACATAAGTATATGTACTGAAATAAAAGAAACCATCGTCGGACAATTACAGAGAGGGAATAAGTAATGGGGGTGAGGATCCTAAGAAGAGAAGAAAGAAGCACAGACATGAGTAGAAAAAACAGCCTTGGACAACACAAAGGCTCTCTTCCAATGAGACTGAAGAGGAAAAAAGGTTGGGCAAAAACACAAAGTAGAGAGGGATTAGCTGATGCTTTTCCTTGTTGCTACTGATGTTAATTAGCTCCTGAGAAAATCTATCTCGGTGTGGTAAGAACTGTAGAAGCACAGAACTCTTGAAAAGTATTAAGGGCTTGAAGCAACTGTCCTAGTCTCTGCTTTGCTCTCGCTGAAGAAGTAACCCTCCTCCATATTCTCTCAAAGAAACCTGTACTCAACTCTGGTCTTGTCTTTATCATACTCTAATTAGTATTAATTTATTTACCTATGGAGGACATACCAACCTCTTATACATTTTTTTTTTTTAATTCCCAGGAGCAGCACAGTACCTGGTAGAGCTAGGAAGATGAAGTGAAGTTTAGGACGTAGCTAACTTTCTCCAAGAACTCTATGACCACACACCTAAGCTGGAGTCCATGCCCTCCTCCACTCACTCAAAAAACTGTGAACCCATAAATACACTGAGCTGTCAGATGGTCTGTAAGCCATAAAGTCACAATAAGATAACCAGTCACAGTAGTGGTTACTTTCAGAAACTCCAATACTATTTGGAAATGCTTCTAGATAAAATTTCTCATCAAGAGATACCAGGTCTGGTGCACCAAGTTTAGAGCTCAGAATGCCCTAGATACGAAATATACATCTTACAAAATATGATTGGGAAAAGTGGGCAAAACATGCAAAGATGCAAGCGTGTTCACGGTGCATTCTGAAACACACTCACCTTAAAATCTAAAAATGTCAACACTGTCTTTTTAAAATCCACACATGGACCAGTAGGCGCACAAAATGATTACATGCTTAAAAATCAATTTTTACATCTAAGTCATGCATAAGAGAGGCTTAGAACTAGAAGATATTTCTAAATTCAATTTAAATGTAATAAGCCTTCCCTGTTTTTATTTTTCACAACTGTTAGCTGGGACACATTATGTACGACAATAAAGAGCATTCAGTGACAATCTGCCACCAAACAGTGATGAGCATAACTTATCACTAATTACCTGCACACTTCTTACAGATGACAACACAGAGATTGATGGATGCCCAGTCAGGATCCGGGGCTTTACAATCGGCACAGCTCCTGTTGGACTCATTGAACCAAATCTTCTCAGCTACCTCATAATCAGAGAGAGTTTCTGCTATCGATTGCTGCACAGCTTCAATCCACTCTTGTTTCTCTTTTTCAGACTCGGCTGTAAAGCTGAAACAATTAATGTTTCTGCATTATCGATCTCCCTTGTAAAGGCCAATTAAGCAGTATGTTCAGTTTGCATATTCATTTCACTCACAAATTAAACAGCAGCTGAAAAATATGCCTTCCAGGCAGCTGAATAGTCTTTTCTGTTAAAAATCATCTAATTTAAAAATCTATTTTTTCCTTTAACATCTCACATTGCTTATGAATTTGTTTACATATCTTGAATATGTACATGAACAAAATTAACATGCACATTTTTCTGACCTGGATATAGAAAAGTGCCTTGTTAGGTCAAGAGCTTAAATGAGAGGCCATGTTTCCTAAGCAGTGGTTATATAATAATCAATGAGACTGGCTGAGTTTCAGAACTATTGGATTATTTTGCCAAGAAAGTAAGCCATGATAGCCTGAAACTAAATTATCAAAAACACCCACCAGAAATTTTGATTTTTTTTTCAGTCTTAAAAATAGATTTTCTTTTTTAATTAGAAGAATGTCCAGATGGCTTTAAGAAACTGAGAAATCAAAAAAGTTTCAAGTGATTACTATTCTAACGGAATTCTAACTCACTTTTAGCCATGTTCTGATTTATCCTAATTCTTAGTGTTTATTGGATATCTGAGTAAAGGGATAAAACATTAAACATGGGTTCAGTCCAAGAAATGTTTATCAAGTACCTATGATGTGCCAGGAATGTGCTACGGTGCTCCAAACTTGGCCAATGACCCACAAAACGTTTCACATTAAAATTTTCTCTTCTGAAGAGGAAAATGTTTTGAAACATTATGAAAATAACAGATGATTAATATATTCCAAATAATCCATAGGGAAACTAAGTGGCTTACACATGGATATTTTTTAAGCACTTTATGTTCCATCATCAGTATATAATATTCATAAACTTATTAGTGGTTTCTACTTTTATATAGAGATTGGTCACAGCCAATATGGCGGAATAGCCTTTGGGCATGGATTACTGGTACACAGAATCTAAAACCCTTGGAGGGCCCTAAGTGATAAGTGTCTTCTGTATGCTTGTGAGATAATTCATGGCTGGTGGCCTAAACAGCTTCAGGATGGCAGCTGGCCACCAGGTAGACCAACATGTGATCAGAGGCTTGGAATGTTCAGCCCCATCCCCTGACCTCTGTGATGGGAGAGGTGCTAGCAATTGAGTTAATCACCAATGACCAAGGGTTTAATCCATCATGCCTAAAATATGAAACCCCTCTAATAACTCTTGAACAGTAGGGTTCAGAAAGCTTCTGGGTTGATGAACACACTGAGGTGCTGAGAGGACGATGTATCCAGAGAAGGCAAGGAAGCTCTGTACCCTGCACTGTGCAGCTCTCCCATTTGGATGTTGCTGTGATACATTCTTTGCAATAAGCTGGTAATAATAATTAAACTGTCCTCCTGATTTCTGTGAGCCATTCTCACAAATTACTGAACCTGGGTGAGTAGGGTAAGTCATGGGAGTCCCAATTGGCAGTCAAATTAGAAAGAAGCAAGATAGAGGACCTAACACTTGTGACTGGAGTATGAGATGAGGGCAGCTTTGTGGCACTGAGCCCTTAAACTTGTGGGGTCTAGTGCTCACTCTGAGTAGCCACTGTCAGAATAGCCAATGGAATTGGGGCTGAATTGCAGGACACCCACGTGGTATCTGGATACATGGAGATTGGCTGGTGTGGGGAAAAAGCCCACCACATATTGTGTGTCAGAAGTACTCTAAGTAAAAATAGCTCAGCCAATGTCTACCTTTTCAGTTGAGGCTTGCATCTGCATATGTAAAAATAAAGTTTGTTATTCTTTTAGGTGAGTATTTTTTCCTCAAAATATGAGCCAGCAGACACATTCTGACAGATAAAATGAGTATCAGACTGGGGAGTGTTTTCGAAATTGCCAAGTAATCGTAGTCCTTTAAAGACCTCTGACAATTGCCTCTGACCTGCCTACTACCCCCCGTGATATGTTGATTGTTTGTAACAAATGAATTAATGTGGTTGCACACACAGATACCAACTTATGCCTCTTCGGTGTACCAAAGCTATGGAGTTATTATAGATTATTAAAACATATTAGGAACTTTAAGTTTTCTTTTTCATTCTCGTATGAAGTGATTACTAGATTATCGTAAATACAAAATATATAATGAAATGTTAAAATATTTGATCTGCAAGTGCTGAGATCCAACAGCATCATTTTGACCAGGAGTTCCTTCTAGGAAATCATTATGGAGCAATTGTAATCAGGGATTGATTTTAAAGGAGGACTGCATTTGATTAGGCTAAAAGAAGGTAAACAAAAATACAGCTTAAAGACAATGTAGTATTCTTTATTCCTTCAAAATGTGAAAGAATTTTTCACATATTTGTTGATAAAATACTAATATATTTATCACGACTACTAAGACAAAAAGGAATTAGAAAAGAAAGGACTCAAATCTCATGAAATTAGTATCTATAGCAGGTTGTGTGCTAAATTCCCGTCACTTTTACAAGGTGTTTTTACATACTGGCTAATAAATTAAACAATATGGAAAACGAACATGATTTTATTATGTGATCTATAAGAAATAAAATCACCACTAACAATCTAAAAGTAGATCACCCAAGCTTTCTTAGAATAACACAAACACAAATGTTTAAATATTGCTTACCTAAAACTCCGATAGGGGGTGATTATTTCAAAAGACTGTTTTACAGTTCGGTCCACTTGCTTTACATTTGCTACATTCATAGGAATTATGGTAATACCAAGTCCACTTTTAAAATCCTAGTTGGAAGAAAAACATAAAAACATTTTAAAGGGGATGCCTGGGTAGCTCAGTCAGTTAAGCATCTGCCTTTGGCTTAGGTCATGATCTCAGGGTCCTGGGATGGAGCTACACTCTGAATTCCTGCTTAGTAGGGGAGTCTGCTTCTCCCTCTCCCTCTGCCCCTCCCTTTGCTTGTGCTCTTTCTCTCACTATCTTTCTCTCTCTTAAATAAATGAATAAAACTTTTTAAAAAAGATTATAAAGAAACAAAATGATGGATTCGGAAATTACAATGATATCCTCTAAAATCCAAAGTACAATTAAAGAATGAAACAAGTCATGAAAAATGGATTGACAATGGTTTTATTTTTTTTTTAAGATTTATTTATTTATTTATCATAGAAAGAGAGAGAGAGAGGCAGAGACACAGGAGGAGGGAGAAGCAGGCTCCATGCCGGGAGCCCGACGTGGGACTCAATCCCGGGACTCCAGGATCGTGCCCTGGGCCAAAGGCAGGCGCCAAACCGCTGAGCCACCCAGGGATCCCCGACAATGGTTTTCTTATTTGGGTAGGGACTCTCAATACATGCTAACCCAGTGTCATTCTAAGCTGGACAGTTGGGCTAATGATCAAGAATACATTTCTTTCACATGAAATGTTAGGTTGACTAGGACATAGATTATGAACTATATATGCTTGGTTTTCAAAGTTAGGCATTTTTTCATCTTTATCTCTTGAGTAAAGGAAATTAACAGTAACTAGCCCTTACCATGTGCCCAAAATTTCTAAGCAGGGGAGTCAAATGACACTGTTTGGCTGTTATAATTACTAAAAATGAAGAGGGAATTGAGGCCCAAAAAGATTAAAGTCATAAGTCACACGGAAAGCACAACTAGTTGTACGTGGCAGAAAGTGACTGAAACCCAAGCTGACAGTTTTACCCTGTGATGTTACCTCTGCTGTCACAGTATTTTTTTTCATTTACTCTCAAAAAAAAAAAAAGCAGTACAGATTTTGCCATTTTATCTCATTTCTAGTATTTTCTTACTTTCTTCTTCCTTCAATTAAATTCTTACACTCCTTCAATGCTATTTTGGTATGAAAAATTGCCCTGTGTTCAATACCTACAGCCCCTAGGTTCAGGGTGTCCCACCGAAATTAAAAATTGTTCAAAAGGCTACAAGGTCTGCCTTCTAAAAGCATTAAAGTTTGAAATATTATCTAATCATAAGGGCTTAGGAATTTGACTTATCAAACAATCTCAACGCTTAAAAAACATAATTATTCTCCACTTCAAAAGATTAATTTATCCATGTAAACAGGTTCATATTAAATGTGCTCTGAATTTCTGAATTCAATTTGACTAGAAAAAGTAGTCATATTAAAGACATACTACAAAAAATACTGGTACATTTTCAATAAGAATACTCCTGGCAGAGGCTGCAGAAGTTCACAGGCTGCCTTCTCTCTACAGGCTAAAAGGAAAAGTGCTATTTTCCTATCTCCCTTGCAAGCCAAGAGGGGTCATATGTCTTAGTTTTGGTCAATAAAATATAAAAAATTCCTGGGGTGGGGGGGGTACAAATCTTGGAAGAAGAAAGACTTTTACCCTCACCATTCCATCTTCTTCGAAAATAACATCTAGAGGCACAGAAGCTGTTAGAATCCTTGAGATGAAAAGCCTAAGGACAAATTCTTGTTCCTAAGGATGCCAGAGCGAGAAAAAAAAAATACGAAGAACCTTGTTCCCTAGTGGCATCAGCTCTCTACTGCCTACACCAAGAGATTTGTTTAAACAAAGAAATCCCTTCTATTTTAAGTCATCTTTCAGGTTCTTGTCATTTGATTCTAAAGCATTCCTGACTAATAAAATAAGTCAAATAAAATGATATTATAACAAATTTCTCCCACTTGTAAAAGTATGCAGAGTTTTCATTCATAAGTTGCAGAAAAGCCTCTCTTCATTTTTTAACATACAATGTTTAGTTAGAATAAGAAAATGACACATTTATAAAACATTTCATCAATTTTTTTTGATGAAAGTACAAATAGCTTGTTCTATGAGGAAAAACAAGCCAGAAATTTAGAGCCAATAATATAAAAGAGAAGATGCACGGACATGCTAAGTGTTGCAAAATAATTAGAATGTAATATACTTCCACTTTGTATGGCAAACTCATCTAAAAATCAGTACTTAATGTGATCTATATGGACAAGGAGAATCAAATAGGTTCAGTGTTATACTTACTACGATTAAAAACAAAAATTCTCAATTGTCCATACCAGTGTTTTGGCTGGATAACAACTGTTGGAGAAACTTCCAACACAAGAGACTAGAAATTCAAACTCTCTTTTGTAAATGAAAAAATAAAGTAGGAGTAGCAAGGTAAAAAAATTTTTGTGTTTTTTTTAAAGTATAGTTTCACATACAATGTTACATTAGTTTTAAATGTGCAAGCATGGTGATTCCACAATTCTATAAATTGTGCTATGCTCACAAGTGTAGCTACCATATGTCAGGCAAGGTAGGATATTTTTTTTAAAGATTTTATTTATTTATTCATGAGAGACACAGAGAGAGAGAGAGGGAAAGACACAGGCAGAGGGAGAAGCAGGCTCCATGCAGGGAGGCCAATGTGGGATTCGATCCGGGATCTCCAGGATCACACCCTGGGCTGCAGGCGGCGCTAAACCACTGTGCCACCGGGGCTGCCCAAGGTAGGATATTTTGAAAACAGTTTTCTGATGGCCCAACTTGGTACAGGAGTAACTCTAGATAGACTGCATGTCCTTCAAACAGTCCTCCATAATAAAGAACTGACAAGAACCGGATATGCAGCACTGTTATATTTTATGCCAAGTTATACGTCTTTGATGAGGGCCTGGCTTGCAGGTAGTGTGTGTTAGGAAGGGCAGAGATACATACTCAAACCATCAGACTAGCAGATGGCAAGAGTGACAAGGTTTTTATAGAAGCTGATGAGCCTCATCCAGGCTCCAGCCTGAATTGGTGGCCTCTCATTTCTACAGGCAAGTTGTGAAGTATCTACATGTAAAACTGCAATTTCTGTTAAAAATAAAGTAAGTGAGGGTCAGCTCCAGACCCCAAATTTCTTCCAAGCAAGGCAAAAACAATTTTTTAGCCTGGAAGAAAATTGTAACCCATTTATCAGCTGCTGGCCATGGCCATATGGTTTTGAGTAATTAGAGTATCCACTGAATTCACCGCACAAATGGACTGTAAAATGTACAGCAGAGTAACGAAATAAATGTCAGTGCTCTTGAGAACTATTAAGTATGAAACAACTGCGTTTCTTATTAAAAATATTTGTGATGACATTAAGCCACTTTTTCAGACTGCATTTAGAACATATTAAGAATATATCTAATTCCTCAATGCTCCCTCTGATCCTGAGATTCTTATGCCCTGAATTGGAAAGCAGAGCTTAGGAATCTTCAGTTAAAAAGTAAGACTACAACCTATGATTCTCATATGCAGCCAATGTTGAGAAAAACTTATTTAGACAGCAAAACCAGCTGTAGAATCTAGACAGGATGTGTCTGCAATATTTAAATATCAGGGTATCAACAGTTTCTTCTGCCTTCTGTAGAGCAAAAGGGGAAAAAAAAAGCATGCAATGATCATACAAAAATCATTGGAAATCATTAAGACTACTGTTGAAAAATACTCTGGCCAGAACACAGTGACACACTGGATTTTCAAGATCCTATTTCTCCTGGGTTCCCACCCCCGTGTTAACGTCTAGAGGCTTTAAAAGTATCGGTCTTCATTAAGCATATACAGTGCACTCCATAATTGGTTTAATATCTATTTGTGTCATGCTCTGAACCTTACAGAAAGCCATGAACTCTCATTTGATCTTGTAAATTATTCTGTGAAGAAGGCAGAGCAGATACAGCCATCTGTATTTTAAAACGGGAAAATTCATCCTGGCAAAACAATGTTTATTAAGTACTTAGTGAGTGCCAGAAACAGTGGTAAGCCCTGGATCCTTGTAAGAGCATACAACAGGGTCCCCGCCTTTGGGAACCTTCTAGTCTAAGGAGGAAATGAGAGAGAACTGTAGTAAGTGCATAGCTGTAAGCACTGAATCCAGGCAGTCCCTGAAAAAAGAGAGCTGTGTACTCATGAGCCTTTCCAAAGGAGGTGAAACTTGACCAGATCATTGACGAAAGCCAGACCAGCTTGATCAGGTGTATTTCTCCTTCTTCAATTCACCCATTTTCACAATGGGGAGAAGAGTAGTACCTACACTTCCTCAGTGTGGGGAAGATCAAATCAAAACATTGCATATGCTTAGAAGAATGCCAGGAACCCAGCAAGCGCTATATAGTTCTACAGTTAGCTATTGTTATCATTATTGTTAGTTTCTACCTCTTGAATTTGAGACCAGCTGAACATATTACCCATGAAAAAGTTAGTTACAAGAAAACACATACCTAAGATAACTAGCAAGCATATATATTTTTTTTAAATGAGGTGGAAGAAAATGACCCTTTAACAACAATCTGATTTCAATAATATTCTCATTTTGAAAAACAGGCCCAAGTCAGGGACAAGCCACACTTTCAACACTTAAAATACTATAAACTGAGAGAAAAAAAAACAGGAGCATGAAAATTCAGTGGGTAGAGTATTACTAAAGAGAGCAAAAAGCTAAGAACAGATTCTGGACTAAACTATATTCTACATTTAATTTACCGTCATAGAATGTGGGATCTCAAAAAAGCATGAATCGCACCACCAGTACTACTATAACAATGGCAATGCTTGGCGAACTGATCTGGACACCTGCAAAGTGTCCATGAACCATGACCACGTGGGCACTGGGAGTCAGGGACAATCCTAGCTGAGCCATTTACTGGCTGTGTGACTACTGCCAAGTTATTTACTTAATCTAGAACCCAAAAATTCCTCATTTATAAAAACACAGTAATATCTCCCTTATACAGCACTGCTATAAAAATTGAGCGTAATATAAATTAAGGGTATAA